GCTTGCCACCTCAGGTTCATTTTGCACAAAATACATATCCTAAGAGAAATTAATGCTCAGGTTCACCCATGAACCCATTATGTTTCTTATCGAGCATATCGCTTCAGTCTTGGGAGACTTATTTCGATCGGTCTCGATCTATAAGAACTCCGATGACACACTTACAAGTATTCAAATGCCAAGTGTCCACTCATGGCTAAAAAGTTGCCCATATCCCGTCACTAGTCTATGCTCAATAGATTCCTCAGATTTAATTCAAAGCTATCAAGAGAGAAGTAAAACACGGCAACCCATTTGTAGCAAACCAAGCTAGAGGACTTTTGAGTTTTGAGAAAATATTCGGTGGTTATAGTGTACCATGCTGACACGCTTATTTGGTTCTCTCATCACCAATCAGAAGTAGCCATTTCAATAAAAGGGCAGGTTTTGTCAGAAAATACCACATCAGCTTAATAGCCTAACTTGACTGACGGAAAAAACAAACAATTTTCTTCTGTTTTCTCTCTCCTATAAACTTTCTCTCTCTTGTAAGCTTTTTCTCTTCACAATACTCAATTAAGTCCTGTGAATTTTTCTCTTTCAGTATCTCTCTCATCCTTTTCATGAAAAATTAAATTTTAAATTCCGCGCCTATTATTTTGAATTTTGGGTTTCTACCACAAAAATGTTAATAGCATAGTAAGTGTTTCTTATTTCTCATTTTAAATTTTCCCACTTGACTTTCTTGTTTCTCTTTTTTGTCTGTCCAAAATCCAGCCATCATTTTTATAACTTCTCTTCAATTAATCCTTTTCCTCTTTTTATCACTGAAGCTTAATGGTTCATTCCTTTATCTATATTTTGATGGGTTCGACATAGTCTTTTGTGGTTGAAGTTCATGAGTTACAGTGCTATTGATGTTTCAATGGTGTGAATGAGGATGAGGATCTAGGTTTTTTTTGCCATTGAAGGATGGGATATAAGGTAATTATGGGAAAACTATTACGAAGCATTCCTAACTAGCAAGAGTAACATTGGCTTCTATAGTGAATGTCTTGTGAACCAATTCGGGCATCTTCAGTGGCGAAAGAGTGCCCGAGTTTGAGCATGAGTTTGAGATCTTGGATGATTGGAAGAATAGACCAATGTGGTTTAACATGTGGGAGCTTGGCTCCATGGGTAATTGATGTGCGTCTCCGTCCAGTATAACGTAGTGTCATTCCTTTGCATGGGCCCAAAGTGTTGCATGTCTTGCTTCCATAGCCTCAACAACTAGAGGGTCCATGTCATCTTCTAAAATTAGTAGCGCCTCCACAACTGAGTCATCCTAAGAAGAGGATCTAGTTATCAATAGTGATGTTTTTTTTAGCATTGAGGTTTTTGCTCAATGTTAATGGTGAACTTTGTTTGTATTGTTGAATTGAAAAAAGAAAAAATAGTTTTGTTATTCCATAAATTAATAAATAATTTTTTTATTTATGAATAAATATTTTTTTTTATGAATAAATTATTTTATGAATTAGATATAACTTTGGTTTCATGTGCTGTCTATGGATTCTTTTCAAAATTCATTCAGAAAAATGAATAGTTATAGCAGTTTTTTTGATCAATTTGGTGACTTGTGAATTAATATCTATGTAAAAATGACTCTCATTTCCAGATACTTGTGAAATTTTATGAATTGTGAGTTGAGAATTGATAATACTTTATTTCATTCAAAATATTCAGTATTATTATGTTTTATAATTATTATATATATATATATATATATATATATATATATATATATATATATATATATATATATATATTTATTTATTTATTTATTTATTATATAATCGATCAAATTAGTTGAACCAATAAACCGTTGATCTGATCCATTTGACAGTTCGATGACCAGTCCGATTAAGATAACATTACTTCTTATAGTTGTCCACCACTTGATCTAAGTTTATCACAAATGTTAAATAAGACCAATAAGACTAATGTGATATACTTGCACATATTTATGTTCCTTCTATATATCAAAATTTAGATATACAAATATTTCAAATGGCTTATGCCAAAAAAATCGGCACCAAGCAACACACTGACATGTTTTATGCTACTTGATCTTAAGCTTGTGGTCAACTTCACTGAACAATATTGGAATACTATTTTTTATATACATAGCAATCAAGCTCGAGTGAAAAAGACTTCAAGATCTGGATCATGTCAGTTGAGCTTCAAATAGAATGCATAAAACCAGCTCAATACACTCGACCATTCACCTTACCCAAATGAACAACCACTAGTTTAACAAACAATGACCACTCATTTCTTCTCTTTCCTATGTACTCTACGCTCCACAGACTATGACGGGGACTCTTACCACCCCATGGACGACAGAAAAATGCAGATCAGATTGAGAAAATGTAGCAGGCCACCTCCATTTCCTGCTCATCAACTTCCCAGCTCAAGCACTTCTCTTAGCAGAAAAAATGGTAGAAATGGACGAATGAAGGAAGAGAGAAAATGGGTAGAGAGAGAGAGAGAAATTTGAAAAGTAATGAGAACATTTTAGAGAGATGATGCAGCTTAAAGATAGAGAGAGAGAGTAAGAAAATTTTTTGTGGAAGCAAATGAAGGACGGCTGAAGTGATAGACATGCAATAGAGAGAGAAAATTTTCTCAATCCAAAAAAATAAAAAACTTTACGTCCGTTAATTAAGTTAGGTCATTTGGATGACATGACATCTTTTTGACAGACAATTAAGCTGATGTGGTATTTTTTGGTCCTTTTATTAAAGTGGCAATTTTTGATTGGTGATGAGCACCAAATAAACGTGTCAACATGATAATATTTCTCGTTTTGACTACTGAAGCAAGAGTTGGCATAGGATAAGACTATACCCTTTTGACTACTGAAGGAAGAGTTGGCATAGGATAAGACTATGCCCTGTAACCATTACAATCTATGTCAGACTTTTTCAATGAAATTTATGTTCCGTTTGACACGATAAAAAAGTGAGAGGATGAGAAGTTGAAAAGATGAAAAGTTTGAAGAATAAATAAAACATCATGTTTTATAAGAAAGAAAATTAGAAAAGATAGAAAAGTGGATGTATTAACTTTCTTTTTAACTTACTGAAATCAATCCCTCCAAAATAGAAAGGAAAATTGATGAAATTAATGTATACATAATATATGTATATATAAACAAATTTCAAAAATAAATTAAAATAAAAAATAAAATAAAAAAATTAAATTAATTTTTTTTTCCATCTTAACTAAAGGTGAAAATTTTTGACTCAACACGATGACACGACTCGAAATCGATACGAAAATAAATAGGTCAACTCTCAACTCGACACGACACAATTAGTTAAATGAGTTAAGTTAAGTTTGACTAATATTCGACACAAACCCATAATAACTCAACACCAATATGACACGATCCGACTCAATTGTCACCCTTAATCTTAACCAACACAAAAAAAAAAATTTTTATTTTCTATCCATCCAACCAAACACAAAAGAAGGAAAATATATACTTCCTACTTTTCATCCTTGAAGGATAGAAAGTGTATCATCCCTATTTTTCATCTTTCTTACTTTACGAGAAAATATTCACTACTTGGCAGGTATCAGACTGTCATTGACAACTAGTACTCATTACCAATCTATAGATGCCACCTCATATTCTGTCATTGGCAGGTACCAAGCTGTCATTGACAATTGATACTCATTACCAATCAAGAGATGTCACCTCAATGTAGGCTTTCCTTAGATTTTTCTCTCTCCACTGGCTATCTTGAGGTGACATCTATTGATTGGTGATGAGTACTAACTGTCAATGACAACCTGATACCTGTCAAGTATCGAATATTTTATCACTACTTTACATCATCCTTACCAAACGAAGCATTAAATTTTCATACCCCCAAAAAAATAATAAAAATAGGTTAATTGTAAGTTGCACCCCGAAAGATAGTTTGAATCTCAATTTACACCCCCAAATATCAAAAATCTCAATTTACACTCTCAAAAATAAAAATTTGTATCAATGCACACTCCTAAAGATAAAAAATCTCAATTTGTACCCTTAAAGATAGAAATTTGTATCAATGTACACCCCCAAAGATAAAAAATCTTAATTTACACCCTCAAAGATAGAAATTTATATTAATATGCATCTAAAACTAAATGGATAAATTATACCTAGATCCTCTAATACTTGTCACTTAATTATTTGGACCCCTTCACGTTTAGAATATTACTCTCACATCTTATGACATTTGTGCACGTGTAATACATAACCCTTTTTCGTTGATGTATGTTAATATAACCGTTAAAAAATATGATTTTATCCTAATAAAAAATTATAATTTCATATTATCTTTATTTTATGGGTTCGATATACTATAAAGTTTAAAATCAAGTTTACCATTTGAATGACCAATAGAATGTATATATTTATATAATATTTTTTATATCCAATGCAATATATCACTCAATGTGCAAACCCTTTATTCTATTAGACATTTAAATTGGCAAACTTGATTTTGAATTTTAGAATATATTTGACCCATAAAATAAAGGGTAATATGACATTATATTTTTTTATTAGGATAAAATTATGTCTTTTAACGGTTATATTAACAGATATCAACGAAAAGGGGTTACGTTTTACATATGCACAAACGTCATGATGTAGGAGTAATATTCTAAATGTGAAGAGGTCTAAATGATGAAGTGACAAGTATAAGAGATCTAGGTATAATTTATCAATTTTATTTTAGGTGCACATTAATACAAATTTTTATTTTTGAGGGTATAAATTGAGATTTTTTATTTTTAAGAGTATAAATTGAAATTTTTTATTTTTGGGGGTACACATTGATAAAAATTTATATCTTTAAAGGTATAAATTGAGATTTTTGATATTTAAAAGTATAAATTGAGATTTGAATGATTTTTCGGGATACAATTTATAATAAACCCTAATAATAATGAATTAAACATCATTTAAAACATGTCATTTAAGCCAGGGGAGGACATTTTGGGAACCTGAAAAGCTATTCAGTTGGTCATCTCCGCAAAGCACGCACAGCGGAGAAGACCGAAGACACCATTTCTCAGCAGTCATCACGCGTACAAACACCGCCAACGCAACAGTGACCACCACATGTCTGCCACTCCATTACCACCATCTCTTCCCTCTTCTTCCACCGGTGCTACGAACAAAATCCTAAATTCCTCTTCACTCCTCCCGAAACTCCCAGACATTCAAATTCAACAATCTCTGAGACACAAGACTTCAATTCGATGCGAGCTCAGGAGCTTCGAGAGTTCTCCTAAGTGGACCGTTGATTGCGTCTCGGGAAGCGATCCGATTCACATTATCCTCACTCCTCCACCTACTCCGTTCTCTATGGTCTCCTCTGTGGCGTTGGATTCAAATGTGAGGAGTTCTAAGAGGGTTTGCCTCTTTTACTGTGCAGAAATGAAGGATCTCGCTGAGAGGATTGCTGCTGAATCTGACGCCATTGAACTTCGCAGCATTACTTGGAGGTATTTGTTCTTTCAATTTCATATAAGATAAAGAGGAATCGTATGCGTTGATTCTGCATGTGAAATTATAAAGGGCACCTTATAAGCTCATTTCGTGCTTCATCATCTTGAGACAAAATGGTTTAAGTCTTGCGTAGTTCAAATAATTCATGATGTTGTTATGAGATCAAGCTCTCTCTCTCTCTCTCTCTCTCACGTATCTTGGTCCTACTCTGCCAGCTGCAGGCTCAGGTCGGAGAACGGTGGTTTTGGTTTGGTTAATTTACCATACATTTTGAATTAACTCAGACGAAGAAGCAAAAATTTATGTTCGACTATGAGAAAGTAATATCATTATTTTATCTTATGTGAAACCAATGTAATTTTTTGTAAAGAAGAAAATGAGTTGTTTGGCATAATATAGAAGCTGCTCTTGCCCTGATTAATGAGGTAGGGACTTCACCAAGGAGCCAAAGGCACGTACTCACTGATCAGGTCTTAATTGGACCAATGCTCTAATTGGTATCTCACCATGCCCGAGTGCCTAGATTCACAGGATAAGAGAAATCTTTTCTTAAAATAACTGATGAACCTGCTCTCAAAATTTCATACCATTCCCATTGTTGTTTTGTGACAATTTTTCTTCTTTTTAATAACCAAGACCCATTCAATGAATAACACGGTGTTAGTGAATTAGTTTTTGTTATTAGAGACTTTTGGTGTTTTTCTAGTGTTTCTTTCTCCGATTTTAAAATTGGAGCGCTTGCGCTAACATATGCTGTTTAATTATGTCCTAGGACATTTGAAGATGGATTCCCCAATTTATTCATCTCTAATGCTCATGGGATTCGTGGACAGCATGTTGCTTTTCTTGCTTCATTTAGTTCTCCAGGAGTAATTTTTGAGCAACTCTCAGTTATATATGCACTGCCAAAGCTTTTTGTCTCCTCGTTCACACTCGTCCTTCCTTTTTTCCCCACGGGCACCTCTGAGCGCATGGAGGAGGAAGGAGATGTTGCGACAGCTTTCACCCTTGCTAGGATCTTGTCAAACACTCCAATTTCAATGGGGGGACCCACTAGTCTAGTGATTTTTGATATCCATGCCTTGCAGGTTGACACCTATATCTGCTGTTGTAAATAATTTCATGTATTTCTCGTGTGGTTCATTTACTGATTATGGTCATAAGGTTTTTATGTTGGTCTCTTAAGAAGCATAAACCTTTCCAATTCCCTGACCATCTTTGTTTCTTTATTGCTCCATCTCAGGAAAGATTCTACTTTGGTGATAATGTTTTACCTTGCTTCGAGAGTGGGATACCTTTGCTTAAGAATAGGCTTCAACAACTCCCTGATTCTGATAACGTAAGATTTTTTTTGATCAAATTTAGTTTGAGAAACTGTGTTTGTGTTCGGAATTTAATTCCAGAATGTAGACCTTTTGATCTGCATTCTTGTTTCTTTTAAATCAGCTAGTTGATGTAGTTTAGTAATGCTGGTCCTAATTTGAATCAATGCCTCCTTTTAACACAACTTAGTTGAACTTTAAAGACATTTTCCCTCTGCAACTTGGCATGTTATGATACTGGCTGATAAAGGCCTTTACCCTGCCAATATGGATGTTGGGAAGGGTAACTTACATTGGTCTATTTTGCATAAAATGGCTACCGTCAGAGTCAGGTCTGCATTACCAATCTATGGCTGCCAGCATACATGTTTTCCATGCAAGCTGGCAATAAAGGTGCCAGCAGATTAAAAAGTCATTTCCCATTGTTGGTCACACCAGTGTAGGGTTGGGTTATTTTTTTTTTTTTTTTTTTTTGTTGGGTGGTGTTGTGTGTGTGTGTGTGGGTGGGGGGGGGGGGGGGGGAGAGGGGGGCACTAGACCTTGTCTAAACCTACTCTCATCATTTATGCGCAATGGTTGCCAGCAGACTTGGACATGTCATTCTCTTGCTTGATCACTTGTATATACCATCAAACTTAGCAATGGTAACAGTTCGAATACCTCTGTCGAGAGTCACATATGATGCTTTGAACCATGATTTTGAAAGTTGGATAGGTAGCCAAGTTATTGAATTCAAGTATGTTTCTGTTGTTTTGTCTTGACATGCTGTTCACATGCAACAAGTTATTGTGCCCCTCTTCGGTGATGAAGATGTCCTTCCTCAAATTTTACATCTATATGTTAATTTGAGTTTCTTAGCTAAACTCAGTCTGATGTGGTGAAATTATGTAGATCAGATGATTAATTGCTTCTTCAGTGCTTTTCATATCTGCAAATTTCCTGTTCTTGTTCTCTTTCTTTTTCTGTTTCTAGATATCTGTTGCTTTTCCTGACGATGGTGCATGGAAACGGTTTCATAAGCAGCTGCAGCATTTCCCAATGGTATTTATATTGATGCTCTCTGCAGTTATTAAGTAAACATACATCAAGTCTCTCACAAAATGCATCGACCTATGAATTTCTGCTGGAGGTGTGTGGTTGCATATCATGCATACGACCTTATTCTCGATTATATCGTCTCATTAATAGAACCATGTCTCTACTCCACATTTATCCTAAATAAGAAGTTCCTTCATTAAGCATCTGCCTGATCAGTTGCATGATTCATTCTCAGATTGTTTGTGCCAAAGTAAGGGAAGATGATCAGCGAATTGTACGCATTAAGGAGGGAGATCCTAAAGGACGTCATGTAGTGATAGTTGATGATCTTGTGCAATCAGGTGGCACCCTGATTGAGTGCCAGGTATGAAAGTCGAGGATGCTCCTCCCCATCATCATTTTTTCTATCCTTTTTAAATGGGGGGCTTATTTTTTACATCAAGAGAATAAACCTGAATTTGAGGCAAAAAATGAAAAAGACAGAAGAGAAAGGACTGGAAAAAGATCATTCCTGGAGCTAGTATGTTTCTATAGCGGTGTAATTTACAGCATTTATTGGGCCCTTTTTGTTTATATATATATAATAGACATTGTATCATATGTGACTCTCTTACCGTGGAGAATTTGCTAAACATAAACTGATCGAATGGCATTATGCTAGCATTCTATGTTGTCTTGTTTACATTATCAGAAAGGATCAGCGTTAATGGTATGTTTCAGGACTGTAGAGCCTAATTGTATGACATGATCATTACTTTGAAACCTGGAGCACAAAAGACAACTTCTCAATCCTTTTATCTGCCCTGTAACTGTTTGTAATTATTTGGTTTCCTTTAGTCACTTATCCTGGGTAATATGTTTCACAATGTTTTTCTTTTCCTTCAATTGTCAAATTTACGATTTCTTCTGTTTCTTTTTAGAAAGTGTTGGCCAAACATGGAGCATCAAAAGTAAGTGCCTATGTGACGCATGGAATATTTCCCAATAGGTCATGGGAGCGCTTTGAACATGATAAGGGAGGTATGTGTGTATCTTCTTAGTTCTTACTTCTGTGTTTATCATTTTTTGTGGCAGCCTTGTTTTACATGTTGTTAATGGAATCCGAGTTCATGATATGACCACTTTTTTCCTACCCATTATAGCCCTCTAAACCCGTTACTGTGGCCACTATTTGCTCAACTTGTGCTTCAAGACCATTATATGATCGATGAGCATTGAAGTGAAGGTTCTTATGGGAATACCAGATTACTTTATCATCTGCATTAATGCAGATTAATGCTACTTCTAGCCTATTTTTTCTAAACATTTATTCAATTTGAGCATCCTTTCTCCTCTGTTTTCACTTGGTCAGGGTGTCCTGAGAATGGGTTGACCTACTTCTGGATCACAGACTCCTGCCCAAGGACAGTGAAGGAAGTGAAAAACAAAGCCCCCTTTGAAGTCCTTAGCCTGGCCAGTTCCATAGCAGCTACACTTCAGATTTAACCATTGGTTACTAACTCAAGTAGTGGAAATTGTTGGTTTATTCTGTATGTGTTCTCACCTTTCGACGAGTCCGCAAATATAGAGACACTGAAGCTGAAGTTGAAGCTTTTTGAGGCGGCTATAGTTGTATTCTTTTATGTAATAAAGCTCAGATAGCACTTTGATAAATTAGCAAGAAGATTTAGGAGACACCCAATAAGATTCGACTTGTAAGGAAAATATGTACAGCATCCCTTTGGAGTCTCTATATTCCAGCATTGAGGATTTTTTTTTTAAATAATGATGATCTGTATGATCTTTTCTCTTGAAGCACTATTATATAATTGGAAAATATGTTTTATGCCAAATATCAATACTGTTTTGCCTGCAGAGAGAATGCTTTTACAAAAAGATATGTATTGTCGTCGTTTAACAACAATACATATGATCAAAGAGCTCTTTGACAATCCTAAGTGATGGTCCAGTAGCTAAATCTGTCTTTTACTACTTAGAAGTTTCAGGGTTTAATTCTTTCTCATTCTTCCAAAGAATTAGTCATTCAGAACATATTTCAGACTAATTTAAGTTACAGTGGTCAACTGTTGACTTCGAAAGAATAATCGGCACAAATTTGGACACATTGTAACAAAAAAAAAAAGAGGCACTTCACCCTCCTAGATCATCCGATTAATCCTTTCAAATTCAAATGGTATACTAATTTGATGAAAAATTCCACCTGTAATATAAGAAACCACCCTTTATTCCACTTTAGCTAAGGTACAACAAATTGTTATAAGATAAACAAAATTCCTGATTTCAGGGTATGTCAAGCCCCTAACACGTGCACAACAAACAAAAGAAAGAAGCTCGACTTACCAAAAAAAAAAAAACCCCCCCAAGAGTTCTATTGCTTTGTTCACTAATATATCAAATCACAAAAGTGGACTAAAAAGACAAGTCGGCACCACCAAGACCTACTTTTTCACTATACTTTGTGAGATATCTTTATATAATTTATGAGCCTGTTTAAGGCCTTGCCACTGTCAATGGCCTCTCTAGCTCTATCCAAGGCTGACGATATATCTTCAGCACCATCACATCCCAGCAAGTGATCAACCATTCCAGCATTTAAGACTATTCGATCATATGCTGGACCTTTCTCACCACGAAGTGCTGCTAAACCCAACTCTATATTCCTTGAAACCTAACCAAATTTCACGAAAATAAATTAGAAACCCTATTTCTGTGACATTTAGGACGGACCGTGATGGTCTTATTAATGGGGAAGAGCACAAAAACAACAACATTCAAGAAAGAAGCCCATGCTGGATGAAATGCTTATTTACGTGGGAAACAAATATGGAGATGACATGCCTAGCAGTAGGTAATCCAACCTAATATTATCATACCCGAAGATTATCAAGATTCCTATTGAAGAAGCAAATCGAACAATTAGGAAACAGTTTCTAGATATATACATAAAACTGACGTTCATATTCTCTTCACGGTTGCACGTTTTGAGGATCCCTTTGGAGTTCTCTACTAAGACTTGCAGACATGGACAGGCTTACCGACAAAAAATGAGGTATCTGAGCAAGGTTATCAAAATCCCGATCCGGATCCTAGCATCTTACAATCCTACGATCCAATATAAGCAAATAGATCCGAGTCTCATGTAGGATCCCAAATTCGTAGGATCTTGGATCTTATAGTATCCCGATCCAAACTGCGACTTTACCGATCCAAATTGTTAAGTTTGTTTGATAGGCGTATTAAGTTACCGAGCAATTCAATCCATAATTTTTGGTTTTTATAGTTAAGTACTCAATACAAATGTGTATATCTTATATACTTGTGGGTCTATTGGCAAATTTCAAAGGAGGAGGTTAGAAAAGTTACAGGAAGTTTGTTTACCAAAATTGTCTCTTTTTTCATTCGTCCCTCTTGTTGAAAAGTTAAAAGCAATGATTAGATTTAAGTTTCTCATACGGTGAGTGATCATAGCCAAAGGTCTTTTATATTTTTTTTTTGTACTTTTTTGTTTGAATGTCGAATAACAAAAAGTTATTATTCAACAGTCTTTCAATTTTTTAATCTCTACTCTTTATCTCTTCTCCGAAAGTTAAGATAAAAAATATTTGAATTCTTTTATTCCTCTTTGCACAACCTCACAAGAATAACAGTCCGTCTTTGATGTTAAACCTTATTTAATGTTCAATTTGTAGTTTATCAAATTTCAATTGTACCTTAAGTTTGATCTTTATTGTAGTATTCCTATTTGCATAGATACTAGGCTTTTTTTGAGAATTTTGTATTGTTACATATAATTTTTGTCTCATTTTCTCAGTTGATAGGATCTTAAGATTCTCAATCTGATCCTACGATCCCGATCCTGTAACCTCCCTCATCAATCCAATATAGGATCCCGATTTTAAAAACCTTGTATCTGAGATCAGCGTAAATTCACTGGCCTAGGAAAATGCAAGTTGTACAGATTCTAAAAGCTGAATTTCATTAAAGTATTTTTATCTGATGATAAACTTAACCTAGATGGAAATAGCACAGTTGGAAAAGACATACATCATTTAAATGTTCATGTTTTGGGTTTGCCGCTGCTTCCATGTCTTAAACAAAAAGCAAGATGAGGCCATAAGCCAAGTAAAGATACAGATGGAAACATTGACAAAAAATCTAAAAAACTTACGGATCTATCAGTTCTTGGAGTATCGGTGGGATCAAATCCATATTCATGGGCATTCACCATAAGACTGAAGCTCTCACGTGACACTCCTGCAATACCATTTACATCAAATTTCTCCATTTACTACAATGGTGCTAGAAGCTCAGTCATATAGTGTGACACATTTGGTGGAAATAAAACCCTAAGCTAATTCACATATATTCAGCACAGAAACACAGAATGAAGCGTTGCCAATTCAAAGGAAGTAAAGAAAATTACATAAGTAATAGATACAGACCATCCAACTCACAAGCAGGCACCACACTCAGCGAACGGAACCCTGCACAGTAATTCACAGGAACTCCCTTTGATGCATTCACTGATCGCAATTTTGTCGTCATTGAAAGGGCCCCTTCCTCACCCTGGAAATGCAGTATCATTAGATTGCTTTTAAAGGGAAGCTCAATTGTAGAAAAAAACAAACAAGAATAAAATGATGCACAGCTTTAAATACTCGGTGATTAACACGGTGATTCATGTTCCATCATCTTCATGTACTGATTTTTTTCTCAGTTTAGAAGCACTAAGAAATCATGGTGTAGGAACTAAACAGGTCCATACTGTTTAAAAGTAGAATACCTTCACCACCAAACCAGAATGAACACCTCTTCTTCTCATGAGCATTAGCAATGGCTCCTCATAACCTTCATGATAAAATCCAGCAACAATTGCTTCTCTCCCTCGAGCCTATTGAGAAAAGAACACTTCTTCACCGTCTTTAAAACTAAGTTTGACTACAAAATTGACTTTTCAACTGGTAATTGGAAAAAAAAAAACAAGTGAGGAGGATCGCATGCAAGCAACTGCACACATGCACATATGAGTGTAAATTGGCCATAAGTGGAGTAGCTAATACACAATTAGACAGCAAGTATAAAACAGGGCACTGAACAACATCATAACTTGTTCTCGCTTCTGTAAGCATAGCAGAGCTACAGTGCTTTGTAAAAGATGCTCTTCAAATTTCATGACACTTTTTCAAATGCAGAAAATCAGGAGCATCTCATTGAAAAGTAATGAGGCTCACCCTCAAAAATTGCTGAACCTTCTCAGCTGTTGCCAGTGGGGGACGTTTCTTTATATGTTCCCTCAAACCAATTAAGGAATATCTGCAAAAACCGTACAGAGGATATTAACAGCTGCACTTCATTCTGTTAATACATGGACAATAACTGGAATGGGATTTTCATCCCCCTATTCCCCCAACCAAACCAGTCATGTGAATATCTGATTTCATGATCTGGGGGGGGGGGGGGGGGAGAGAGAACAATATTCCAACAAACGATTGGTAAATAAGTTAATCCAATTCTACAAGTGACATTTTTGCAGAAAATTTATCTTCACATTAAGCTTTTCGAAATGAATAATGTAGGAATTAGGACCTTTATTTTCCTTTCTTTTTTGTAGTGGTGGTGCTAGGGTGAGTGGTATAGTCTTATCTGGATTATGCACCATGACAACAGAACCATATATTGCCATCTCCAACCAGAGCATAATGCAAGGGAAACAACAGATATAGGATAAAGTATATCTGAGGAACTCCATGGAGATGATAATAAAAGAAAACATATGTTACTTTTATTGTTTTCCATCAAATAGAGTTGGCCATTGATGTTTAATTTCTATACATGACAAAAAATGACCCAAAATTGCTGCACATTAACCAGAGCATGACAACAGAACCATATATTGTCATCTTCAACCAGAGCATAATGCAAGTGAAACAACAAATAGAATCATGTAGACCTAAGGAACTCCATGATTATTAACATGATAATAAAAGGAAACATATGTTAGTTTTATTGTTTTCCATCAAATAGAATTAGCTATTGATGCTTACTTTCTAACATGACAAAAATGACCCAAAATTACTGCACATTAATCAGCTATAAAGACCAACTCAGATAGGAATCAGGACCAGGCAGGCCACAAACATTTTAGACAATATTCTTAAGGAAGACAAGCAGCAGTAGCAAAAAAGCTGTCTTTCATACAAGAATTGAAACATAGTAAGATGAAAGGTTCCACTTGTCAGTCAAAAATGCATAAGGGAAAAAAAAAGAAGGGGGGGGGGGAAGCTTAAGATTTGAAGGAATAATGAAGTACAGCAATCAGCTTCCATCACTCATCATAAGCAGTACAAGCCCCATTTCAAGAATAATTCATTGGTTAAGATAGTGTAGCAATGTTGTACTGTGGTAAACCTTAAGATGCTTAATTATTATTAATATTTTCGTTGAATTGAACCAGAAGAAATTTACATATTTCTCTAGTAAAAGATGCTTACAGAGAATGAAGTAAAGAGATGGAAGACAGATAATTGGTCAGATTGCTTACAGAGATGGGTGAGCTTCACGTTGACTTATGTAAGCAAAACCAACCTCCTCATCCTGAAGTAAAAGTTTGGATAAGTTATAACACCATGAAAGTCAACTGAGAGCAAGTAAAATGATGGAAAACATTAACATGTGGGGAACCACAAAGACCTCAAGAAGCTTTTTTCCTTGCAATGGGGATAAGTGTGTATTTGCTCCAATGAACCTGAGCATTTGTTCTTCAGTTATTCCACCCTGAAATTAGGCAAATATTTCAATTTGCATAAACCATATGTATGGTTGATCTCTGTTTCTTTTATTTCCTATCCTTAAAGCTTCACATATCAAATATGTGACAAGGTAGACTAAAAAAGGGGCTGAGATTTAAAAAAAGGATGAAATTTGCAAACAAGTAAAACTTCATTTGGAGGTGATGAGATCAAATGCAAACAGCAATTTGGGTATCCTACTCCATGTGATAATTGTTCTTGAGGTACTCTTCATAACTTCGGTGGCAACATCAGCACCCTAGTACATATATACATCTTAAGTTCCAAAAGAATGAGGCAGATTAAGCTTACTAATGACCTTTGGTGGCATCCATTCCACTCCATGAAGCAAACAAGATTCACCGTAGCAGGATCTAACAGCAGCTACAAATAGTGTACTCCTGAAGTATCGTGTGTTTCCATCATAAGGTTCACCATAATGAGTTAATGATCTAACATCAGCAACTGGGGCAGAACCTAAGGATCAGCAGAGATTTAAGAGCGGAGATACAAACATCAAAGTTGCAACATTCAATCAGTTGATAGCAGCTGTCAAGTGATTTATAAAGAGTGTGTGTTACCAAGTTCATCATCGAAGGCAAGGCAGTACGCTTTTAGTTCACGATCTGTCTCCCTGTTCATACGTTGACCAATCAAAAGCGCTGCAAGCAGTGACTCACTTACACTCCCCAATGTCCTATCTTCCAGTTCGAATGGAAGAACATCTTTCAAAACACCTTGAACCTCCTCATATCCAAGATGACCCCCAGCCAAAACTTCCCTAAGGGCACCCACCAATCTCATTTCAGAAGTGCCATTGCCAACATATTGGGGCCCAATTGAAGTGCCAAGTCCCATATTAGATCCTTCAGGGTCAGCTATAAAAATTATATCTGGGGGTAATGCTCGAACCAAACGAGGCCAATATACATTCATTGCATGCCTTTCCCCTTCACTCCATTGGGTAGCCTCAGGAAAAGCATTTGCACGGATTGTCATGGCTGCAAAAAAGGCCCCAAGTTGTGCTTTGGAAACTTGTTCATCCTTGAGTTCTCCCTTAGCTGACATTAGATGCAAACCTAGTAAATAACTCAGCCAGAAAAGGCTAGCAGAGATAATTTGCCCACTACTTGAATTAAAATTTCAGCTCATCATTTTTCCTAGATGTTAAATTATAGATAATCAGGGAATCGGGCCCTGGCTTCACCTGAAGTGTATTTTCAAAGCTCATTGACTCGCCTATGAATATAGATTGCATGCAGCTATTGGGTTCTCAAAATTTTCACCAAAGTTTAATTGTATCATTTACGTGATAACATATATACTTATTCTCATGATAAGAGCAGAAATTATTGGTCCTCCTAGTCCACTGATCGCTTGAAAATTATTTAATTTGGAACAAAGTTGATAGAATTGCGTAGCATATATTATATGCACGAAAGTGGAATAATTTTCAGGAATTCCAAAAACTGATCGAAGAATTCTATCAATAAGTAAAACTATAGTCATAATAAATACTATGCGACATTGGATTGTAATTAAAAAGTGGAATTAGACATATATAATGTCAATAGTATTTGTAGAACGAAAAGAAAATAAGAGAAAGCATTTTACCTGATTTTAATATGGTGTCCAAAACCTTGAGAGCTTGTTCTTCAGTGAGAGGCCTAGTCTGAGTAGGGCCAGTGCAAACCCTTGCTTGAGCATCCAACACCGTCTGATTCGGTTTCGGATTCTTCAAACTCCGGTAAGAAGACGAAATTGCAAGATTTCCTATTCCCGATTCAGGTGGCCCTAATTCGTCAGTTGTCGCCCAATCTAAAACAACTCTGATAGTCAACCGATTCTTTCTTCGAGTCCAACGATCGCCATGCTTTGAAGGGATTTGGAGTGAGGTTTGGAGCTTTGACTGTGTGAATTGTCGAGGTTTGATATTGGGGATTGAAGAGCTTGCAGGGTCGGGATTGATCAAAGCGTTCATGGTGGTGTGTCTAGGGTTCTCTTGGTTGGTCGTCTTCTTCGCTGGAGAAATCGACTAGAGAACTGAAGTGAGCTCGTTATGGAAGAAAACTGAAATAGAACAGAATAGGTTAATACGGTTTTCGAGATAAAACGGAATTCTGATTTCAACACAACGGAACAGAAAGTGTGACGCCTAGGAGTGGTAAACGTTCGGACCCACTCACGGATAGGCTGGGATCGGATTCAAATGGTATTGAGCTTGGCTCAAACTTGTTTGTTTAAAAAATAAATCGGCTCGAATAAATTTTAGATTTATTTATATGTAAATGTTGAGTTATTCGAGTTTAATTCAGATTCAATTTGCTTTAAATTAGACTGGATTTTAATTTTTTTAAAAAGATAAATTAAATTTATATATTTTTTAAACTTATTTTTAAAAATGAGCTCATCAAACTTATGCTCGAACTCGTTTACCAAACCGCCTCAATTATGTACTTGTTAATTGCACCTTTTACAGCTATTTATCTCTCTTAAGGTAGCCACCCTATTTCTATATATTTTTAATTTTTTGCCGGTGATGAGACAATTTTAAGCACCGATAATAATCGATCTGATCCAATGGGATAGATGAAATATCAAATAAATATTTTTTGAGACGACATAATTTGACTCAAATACACATTATTAATACTTAGCAAAATACTATATGATGAAAAACATAAAAATTCATTAATTTTAATTAATTTAATAGGATATACCTCTTAGTTGTAGTCACATAGTACGAAAATAATCATATTTTAATTTATTTTTCATTGAAATAATTTTTATTTTTATTTTTTGTTACAGGGTGTTACACCGACTATTATAACTCTTTAACTATCGACGAGCTTAGTATTAAGGGCATGTTAGGTATGTTTTTTAGAGGGGTTTGGATTAACTTGTTCAAACTTGAATTTGACCCAAATATGAGATTCAAAGATGGAATTTAACATTTAATGTTGTCCATATTCATGTTTGGTATGCACAGGGATATATGACTATTGTAATAATATATTTGTATTTAAATGACTATTGTGTCATTTAACCAATTTACTCCAAACATGAGTATAGATATATGAGGGGTATAAATGTTATTTGAATATAAGACCCCCAAACCCACATATGAAACCCACTCCTCCCATGGATTTTATGACCGAGCCAGATTTCAAAACCTAGGTTAAATGTATAATTACCAAACATGGGTTTAAGAGGGTTTAGTCTCCGATTCATGTTTCAAAACTCCCCCAAACTCGCATACCAAACAGCACATAAGGTAGGGTTGGCCCAGATTTTCAAGCACAAGCACTGAGCTAGGTTACTTGACCAGCCATAATGGGCATTAAATGTGAGAAAATTTTCGACGCTCGCAAGACACTAGGCCTATTTGATAGGTTTTTTAGAAAGGGTTTCAATTGATTTATCCAAATTCTTCTAAATTCAAACTCCTCTTTATAAAAATGAGATTCAACGTTAATCTCGTCCATACTTATGTTTGGCATGCGCGCGGATATATCACTATTATGATAATATATTTGTATATAAATAACTATTGTGTCCCTTAACCAATCTATATCTATATTACTTATAAATATCAATAACTACGAAAATTTTTTGATTTTCTATTTTATCCCTAATTATTATAATAAAGTTAATTATGTCTACTTATATACTTTTATCTAATTTATACTTTTTACACTTTATAAATGTTAACAACTGTGAAAAATTTTTGATTTTCTATTTTACCCGTAATTATTATAATAAAGTCAATTATACTCTCTTACATACTTTTATCTAATTTATATTTTTTACACATATTTGACTTTCAACTTGTTTTGGACTCTTTAATAAGAATTTCTAAATTCTTTTTAAATCATTTATTAACAATACAATTACTTATAATTATCTATACCAAACTAAATTTCACAGTCCAATATATATATTATATTTTATTTTTTGATATATAATAATATAATAATATTATAAACAATCTAAATAATTTATTTAACAAAATAAAAATTAATAATTGTATAATATAATTAGATGTGTAAATGTCTAAAAGTGTCAAAGAGATAACTAAATAAATGATAAATTAAGTATTTAAAAACTTATAGAATAAATCAATAATTAAATTTAGCAATAATTAAAGTATGAATTAATTATTTGAAAGCTAATTTATTATTTAATTTAATTACACATATAATTCATATTTTCTATAAAAATAATATTATTTAAGCTTATTTACGTGCATTGCTAGTCTTTTCCAAACTCATATTTATATACATACATTTTTTTGTGTCCTTTTGATTATTTGGGGTATAAATACTTGATTATTTTATTATTTTAATACTTGATTATTTTAATATTTAATTATTTGATTACTTGATTAATATTTGATTATTTTAATATATGATTATTTGAAATATATGAGGATATAAATATCATTTTGTATGTTCAAACCCTTTAACCCCTATATGAAACTCACCCCTCCAACTGGGATTCCAAATCCCCCCTTATCCCATATACCAAACAGGTCGTAGGTGACAATATTATGTAGTTTTTATTCTTAATGAGAAATTGTCATAATACTTGTGTTGTTAGATATTTTTATCGAAAGAAATGGTATGTTAACCCCAAAAAAAAGATATTTTCACTAAAAAGTGGCATTGCCACAAAACAAAAAAAAATGGTATTTTTCACCAAAAAAAATCAAAAAGTGGTATTTTTATCTCATTTTTGCCCAAAAAATAATATTTTTTTCCCCAAAAAAAGTGGTATTTTCACCCAAAAAAAGTGACATTTTCTCACCAAAAGTGATAATTTAGGCTAAAAAGTGTTATTTTCACTCAATAAGTGGTATTTTGATACAAAAAAGTGGTAACTTGACCTAAAAAGTATTATTTTCACAAAAAAATGTAGTATTTCACACAAAAAAGTAATATATTCTCCCCAAAAGTGGTATGTTATCCCAAAAAAGTAGTATTTTCACCCCAAAAAAAAAGATTTTTTTTAAAGTGGTATATTCTCCAAAAAAAATAGTATATTCTACTAAAAAAAGGTAATATTTTCACTCAAAAAGTGGTAATTTAATCCAAAAATGATACTTTCATCCAAAAAGTAGTAATTTCAGCAAAAAAAAAAAAGTGGTATTTCCACTCACAAAGTAGTAATTTTACCCAAAAGATGGTAATTTAAAACAAAAAATGGTAACCTAACCAAAAAAAATCATAATTTAACCCAAAAAATAGTAACTTAACCCAAATAATTGGTAATCTAACCCAAACAATTGGTAATCTAACAAAAAAAAAGTGATAATTTTACCAAAAAGGTGAAAATTTTCACCAAAAATGGTGACAAAGCTAACCTAAAAAGTGGTAATCCAAACCAAAACTAAATCTAACCCAAAAGTAGAAATTTCACCAAAAAAGTGTAATTGAACCCACAAGTGGTGATTTCAACTAAAAAAACTAAAACTTAATATAAAAGTGGTAATTTAACCACAAAAAATGGCAATCCAACCTAAAAATTTATATATAAATTAAGCCAAAAGTGGCAATTCATCTATCCCAAAAGTGATAATTTCCACCCAAAATGGTAATCTGTCACAAAAAAAGTGGTAATTGCACCCAAAAAATGTAACTTCAAATGTAACTTCACCCAAAATTAGTAATTTAACCCAAAAAATAGTAATTTCACCCAAAAGTGTAATTTCACTCAAAAAAATGATAATTTATAAGTACAATTTTTTTTTTGAAATAAATCCAATTAAACTTATTGGCTAGCCCATCAAGCTACCTATTGTTATAGAAAAATGTGTATATAATTAGATTATATTGCTTTAAATCTAAATCATGCTAAAACAAAACAGAAAGTAAGTAAAATCAGTGCACTCACAAAACACAGATCAACACGAATAATAAATAAGAAAAATTAGAACTTCAATCCGAGTTTTGTGAAACATAATCTCCTTAAGACATATTTGATCCCTCTTAGTGCTCAAGGTCGATGAGCAACTGTCTCCTAAGATAGAACGAATTTTACCTCCTTGAAAAAACAGTACTTCAATCTTCAAAATTTTAGCGAACACAACTTGTGTTTATACTTGAACTAAACCAAAAAAAAAATAATCCAACAATATGCACACACAGAAATAGAGAAGGAATTCTAAAAATTGGAATCCAGAATGAGATGAATTGAAATGGCAAAAAGACAGTCTATTTACAGACCCTTGATGACTGTTTAGATTGCTTGAAAAGGCATGTGTTGCCACTGTTCAGATTAAAAAGACACCCCTTTAATCTTAACAGGCAAGAGACACCTCCTGGATGAACAGGCTCTCTAAAAATGAACCCAGACCCCTTTTGGCCCCAAATTCATAAGGTAACAGATATAAATTTAAAAATTTAGTTGGATTTAAATTTTAGTTTGAATTTTTATTTTCAATCCGTGTTCAGATCTAATTGATTTGACCCATGACCCACACCGCTCCTAATAAATTTTGCCCAAAAAGATTAAATTTTTTTGTCGTGGGCGTGGCGGGTGGCGTGCGCGTGTGTGTGATAACCAAGATAGTATAGGCGCTCGCTCCTCTTACAAAAGTGTGATACCCCTTGAGGCCCAACTCATAAAGCCAATTAGGAGTATATTAACTTACTAAAATGTTGGTCTTCTTCTAAAATGGGACAAGCCTCATTTTACTACATTAATCTTAGTTTATTTTATCACTTCAAATAAGTCACTTTAAGACATAATTTATCATTTAAATTTTAATAATTTTGGACAAATAAATATACAACATTAATCTCCTCGCGGAGGATAACGCGTTTAAACTTGGTCCCATTAATTTCGAGGTGTGGGACCATTTTTATATAAGCCTCAATTTGCTCAAATAATTGTTATGAAACCATTTTTTTCCAACAATCCCCCATATGAATGAAAATTTGATGTATGATAATGTAGATACTAGTTCAAGTACATGTGAAAGGTTACTGCATCTAAATAAGTAGTCAGTGGTCTTGAACTTTTCGTAGTGACAAACTATCTGATTTATTTGGCTATTCAGTGGACATGATGTCTTTGAACTATCAGTCATTTGTGTAAACTAAGACAATAAAATTCACACTGTTTCCCTTCGGACATAGTTGGTTCTCACGTTTGTGTTCATTTTGGCCTTGAACACTACTTG